GAGCTTCAGTAATGACTCAGAAATGCTTTCCATCACCTCACTGGGCCGATGTTGTTTATGTCCCAGCATCATCAGCTGGAGCCGCTGTGTTCGATATTGTTCTATATCTGTGCCTTATCTTCCACTAATAACTCGCTGCATCTTGTAATGAGGGCAGTATATGATTCAATTGGTCTGTGTGTATTTTGCAGCAGGTTATTGTTGGGTTTTTTTTCTCCCAGAGTGCACTAGGTTCATTTAGTGTATGCGTATATAAAAACACACATCCCACAAAGTGATGTATTGATATAATAGACGACAATGTGGTACATAATGCTGAAAGGCTGCGGTGTTTGTGGCCTAAATAACCCTGGGTTCTGTTTTCAGAAACAAAACTAGAAAATGGAGTGTGTGTGTGGATGGTCAATAATTACAACTAGACGTATCATCTTGACCTACCTTTGAACATTGTGTCTCTGTGTTTGTGTTTGCGTATGGTGCTGATGTCCTTTGACTCAATAGTGAAACCCAAAACATTTCAAAAGCAAACATCCTGTTGTCATGTTTGTGTGTTGTTGTGTTTTGTGTGTGTGTGTGTGTGTGTGTGTGTTTGTACACGCAGAGAAAGTGAAGATTTGTCTTTTCTCTCGACCGATGAACTGCAGTTGGGCAGATGAATAGGAGGGTTATGGCCATGGATTGAGAATAAAGTGGCACTTTAGTCTCATTTTTCAATTAGGATAATGGAGAGCAGCTCTTTATAAACATGGATATGAGCTGGAGACGTAGCAGCTGGGAGGGAGGGGAGGACGAGGGAGGGAGCGGGGGGAGACAATCAAACAACGAGAGGAGAAAGAACAATTGTCAGCCATCTTAAATGTTCCAGTTGAACATTGAGTTGCTAGATGAAGAAGAAATAAAAAAGGTTTGAGGAACGGATACTAGGACGAAGTACCCAGAACTATCTAAAGTCTACAAGAACCAGTGCCACACAATGAGCTGGGTGCTGTACCTTGCCCTGGAACAGCTAAAGGGACAAAAGCTAATTATTGGAAGAAATATGTTATGCTAGTTGCTGTTAGCAGTGAAGCAGTACACCAAAGCAGACCAACCAGTAAACCATATATTCAAATGATTTCTTTCTAAATAATGTAAAACAAAAAAAATTGAAATCAAATTGCAGAATACAGCATTTAAAAAGTGAAAACATGATCCATGTTAGATCAATCGTGTCATCGCTATAACTCACGAATGTCATTCTTTCAGAATAAATGGAGAGAGTCCGGCATTAAGGAGCATAAATCACTGCTCCATAATGATTTAATTGGGGCGTGTTCAGAACAGCAACATAACCAACAACCCTTTGGGCAACATGATAATTGATCAACCAGACGTATCAGTTTCGTCTCCCCCGTGTTCAGGCTGAGGCCCTCACTGTCCCATTGGCTGAAGAAGTGAGGACAAAACTGGAAGAAGGCCATAAAGCTGCCATTTTGGCAGGATGGATGGCGCTCAGCTACCAGTGCTGGGGAGATGGACCACCAGAGCCTGACTGTAATGACAGTAAATTGATGGTTAATAGTCCCTGGGTCAAATTTCAGTGTCAGGCTTGGTGAGAGGTAGAAGGAGCAGATAGAGACAAAAGTGAGGCATAAACGCTAAATCTGTTTTTATTTACTCTGCCCTCCTTGGTTCTGGGAGACAGCTGTCTGACATTTTTAAATCTGGCCATGTTTGTTCAGGAGACCAGAAGGGAAGCAAGACCCGGAACATTCTAGGTGGTTTTAAGCTCTTTGGAGAAATGGTGTAGGGATCATTTTGGAGAAGAGTTTCAGACAGAGCTCTGAGCTTAAAGGTGAAATGGTGTGACTCTGAATGTGGTCCTTGCTTCAGCACCACAAGTTGGATGTCAAATAGAAAGAAGAATTTTAAAGCAAGGTAGATGGAGTGATTGAAAGGGTGTCCGAGGGGTGGCGGGGGGAAAGAGAAAGCGAGTGAAGGCTGGGTTGATGAAGTTTAGAGTCCAGCTGAGGGATGCTCTTGGATAGAGAGGAACCAATAGAAGACTGGGAAAGAATAGCTGAGGGTAGTGAGGGAAACTGGCAAGAAGGTGTGACCTGAGGTAAGTAGAGAGATGACAAGGAAAGTTGGTGGTAGAATCAAGACATCAAGGACAACATCAAGAAGGAGGCAGCAAAGAAAATCATCAGTTCTGAGGCCTGTTCTGTTTGGAATGATGATGGACAGGTTGACAGATGATGTCAGACAGGAGGCTCCACGGACCTTGACCTCCCTTGTAGGGAGAGTAGGGAGGAATGAAGGTCAGCAGGAGCAAATATAGAAGACATATATGTGAATAACAGTGACGCAAGCTAATAATACTAACCCAAACAGCCAACCAGAGTGCCATGAGAGGTCAGTGGAAAATAATCCAATTTCACTTGATTGATCTGAAAACTATTATTTATTTACTAGAAATAATTAATCTCTGTGTTTCAACAGGGGCAGGCTGTAAAAATAGCCTTTGTTCTTTGAATGAAAAGTTGTCGCCTTTATATACTTTGCCATGAGACAGAGCTTTTTTATAACCAGTAATGTGGTTTATGATATCTCTGTGTAGTTGTGTAAAAGACTAAAATACATAAAAAAAATCTGTTCAAATAATTAGAAATTGACCCCATTTACTGTTAAGCCCAAAAAATCCAATGACAAGGGAAACGAGAAGAGGCTATTAACATGTCATAGCTATTGATTTTAATAAAACGAAAAAAAATATTGAGGAGAGACCTTCTCTGTCCCAGCCGGTGTCACATTTTCATGTTTACCCGGTGTGTATTAACCTTTGACGACATGAGTACAAACTGTGGCTGTGACCCGTGTGAGCCGTGGGCTGACCCCTGTGGGTCAGAACAGTCCGAGTCACAAAGCGTCAGACGGACAGATCAATGTCGAGCTCTGACGGTCATTGATCAGGGACACTGGTCATGGTACAGCTGCAGATGTGGCGCCGCAGATAGAAATCAGAGGGAGTCCATGACCAACCCTTCAACCTGGATATTTATAAAATGTCCAAATGTGAACTAAAGCAAAGCTGTTTTCAAAATAACTCATTCAATTCGTGTACAGTGGGCTCCCTCAGTGGGATACATGCCCTTTATGTTGGACAACGTCTACTAAATAAACATTCGGACACCAATACAAAATGGCCTGCCCCCTTTGTAGTGCACTATGTGGGGTATAGGGGGCGGTGTCGGACACAGCCACGGGATATAGGGGGCGGTGTCGGACACAGCCACTCTCTTTAGTGTCTAATTAGTGATAACACCGAAGCAGGAGGGTTTTGGATCAATACCAGCGACACAGTGGCTGTGAAAATGCTCCTTTCTCACCTATAAATAAGTCCTTCGTACCTCCATGGAGTGTTTCAATCTTTCAAAGTTTTTACAAAGAGCTTGTAGCCGTTAAAAGCAAATCCATTTCTGCACCACAAAAGAGGGTAGTGCAAAAGTAAACACACTCTAGGACATTTTCTCTTGGCGGTAAAATGATGGTTTCTTTTTAGCAGCACTGCCTTCTTCTTCTACTTTTTTTAGCCATTTAAGTATGTGGTGATGGTAACCTCTGTGACAGATATCCCTTAATAAAAAGGCCAGTTTTCTCTCCAACCAAAGAGAATTGTCCATAAGCTCACTGTAGATAAATGAAAGCCTCTTGTGCTGCAACTTACAAATGCCTCATAAGAATCGCTTTGGCTGCTGCTGCTCCAGGATCAGTAAAATAACAATACCACAGCGTACAACGTCACTCGAGCAGAGATGTGGGCTAAAACAGACGTTCAACCTGTCAGTGCAGCTGCTTGTCCACAGTGGTTAAATCTCTCCCTCACTCTGACTATGACAATTAATATTTAATTTTAAAAAAATCCAGCAACTGTCTGTGTTTATTGTTTTTTTATTCATGATCCAAGTCCTGGTTATTAACCATTTTACGTAAAAAAAAAAAAAATTCAATACTTTTTGTCATACGACCTTCACCAAAGAGACGTTTTGTGTCTGAAGATTGAAGAGGAGCAGGGGTGTCAAAACAGAGGACAGCTGTGTGTCCACATGTTTGAGTGGAAAAAAATGTGGAGCTACAGAAAGAGTGGAAGGGGGAGACCAGGCCAGAGTCCAGGGGGAGGAGAAACAGCAGAGGGAGGAGGAGGAGCTGTGACAGAAGGAGGCAGAGTGGAGCAAGATGATGATTTGTAGCTCTCTCCAGTGTGCTAGCGTTACAGGAATGGCCCTCCAGGGCAGCATGAAAAGCCTCTTGATTGTTGGGAGTGGTAACTGGAGCCCCCAGCTCCTTGCCCTGATAGATTTATTTACATTTCAGCGCCTGAACCTCACTCAGAAAAAAATGATACCAGTGAGGCAGGGCATCAATATTTTCTAGTAGTGCTGCTCCTGCTTCAGCTACTCCCGCAGCTCTTCTGTTTCATGACGTGGTGTTGTCTCTGCTAGTGATGCTGCGTGATGAGGTGGTCAGTCATTGGCTGCATCGCACGGACAGTGGAGACCTCCTCCACTGCACATATTCAGTTACGTTTGGGCACGGTACAGCGGAATTAGTGTGAGTGACCCCTAACAAATCCACAAATAAGGGCTGGATTAAAGGTAGATGAGAGATCCTGTGGCCTACATCCACCTTTGCACTTCTTTAGAATCTGGTCCATCCCAAATATGATTTGCACCATTTATTAGTCCACTTTCCATCCATCCATCCGTTTTCGTCCACTTATCCGTCACCAACCCCCCTGAACCTTCCTGCAGGTGGTGAGTCCACTGGAAGGTACCAACTGCCCTAACTGGGATTCAATCTTGCCCAGGAGGTGGACCCTGAGGTTCCACACTAACAACAGAGACATTGCTTCTGGGTCAAAGCGCCACTTATTAGTCCACCTATCCTACCCAAAGAGCTGACTCAGTCATTGGTCAGTTTTTATCACCTATATCTCTTTACTAATCCTTCTAGTAGCAACGTATCCAGCTCATATCAGATGTGGACTCATTCAGCGCAGACTGTGTTCACGAAGCTTGATTCATAAACCTGCCTGTTATCAGCTCATAGTCTTTAGGAGAAGTATGATTAAAAAGGAAACACACACAGCTAGTTAGCTGAGAGTGAGTGGTGGAGGACACAGGTGAAACTAATGAGACACAGGTGAAACACATCAGGCCCCAGGTGATAAAAGGCAACAGGAAGGAACAAAACCCCCTAGACAACAGAGGACAAACCTGCTCGTTTTTACCTCTGTAGGTAAGTACAGTGTTACTGACTGACAGTCAGCGCTAATGGAGAATTTTATTCTCAGGTGATGGTCGAGGTTTGGTGACGGAGTGTCAGAGAGAGAGAGTGTGTTTGTACAATTCCATAATTGTCTTCAAAGGTTCATCCTGGAGTTTTCAAACTCCATCACAACTACGAACGTCTTCTAGATTTGAAAAAAAAAAACTTTTGGAGTTGTGTGGTAAGTATGTGGTAGAATTTTGAAAATTGTTAAATGATAAAAAAAAGAAAAAAAAAAGAAAAAAGGAATGTAGCTGCAGCCCTAAATTTCCACAGTAGGTGTGGGGGTCTTAATGGCTTTGTAATTAACTTTAACACTTAATCAATGGCTTTTATTTCATGAACATGATTGCATTATGGCAGCTGAATGAGCCTCTCAGTTGTTAGACCACTGTGATTACTCTCCACTCACTCCAAATGGTCAGGCTGTCATTTCATTTTGAAAGGCTTTTTTTTCTTTATGCCCAGAGTTTCATGCTGTGCAAAATATTAGACCAAATGGTTGCTCCAAAAAATAATAATAATAATAAAAAAAAACCTTCTCAAGGTTTTTTGTACCCACTATGTAATTATTTTAAATCCCTCACTGAATGCAAGATTCTTTCTCTGGTTTTGCTCCATTGTCCTTGCAGCATACAGTATGTCATCCATTTCCTTTCTGACTGAGTTAATGAAAAATAAAAAAAAATGTCAGTATCTATAACACAACTGAATGTTGCTACAAGGCCTTCTCTGCTACACTTAACTTAATTTGGTTTTTTTATGCTTCAAATTAGTTCATATCCGTGTAAACGTTTGTATAAACGGTCGCATCCACTGAAGAGTTAATCTTCATGGACAAGGATCCATAAGATTTTGTTAGACAGTACAACTCTAATGCTTAAAAACTAAGGCATGGACTGCTGCTGAATGTGCATGACCTTTGAACCTGCACAATAGAGGAACCATACAAAATTACATAAAAGTAGTGCTATGTGTCCCCATAATGCAGTACTTTTCAAGTAGTGGGGGAGGAGGGGTGCTGTGAGGTGCCATGGGGAAGGGAGGAGGGGCTTCAGATGGAATATGGCAATATATAAATATACGTGTTATCAGGTTCTCAAAAGTATTTCAAACCACTGCCATAATGTAAAATACATGTGTTAGAAAGGACTGGAATTTTGGAATCTGTGTGTCTGCTGAGTGAACAGCTGCAGCAGCCACAACAGCAGTTGCAGTAGCATCTCTGGATGTCCGGCAGATCTCCCCGAGCAGACGGCTCTCAGTCTTAAGTGGAAGAGCTGCAGCCACTCTCCCATTTAGGATAGTGGGCTATTTAGCCTGACAGCCATTAAAAATGAATTAAAAACCACACAGGCCTCTTTGCCTTCAAAAATGTCATTACATATCTTTATGGCGGCCGATTGTTGAATAAGCAGTTTGCAGGGCTCCCCTGGGGCAAGACTGGGGATGGGATTGGAGTGGAGTGGAGTGGATAGAGGGGAGGAGGAGAGAAAGCAGGGGTGGTCAAATGTGTGGTGGAGATAGGGAGGGAATGAGGAACCTGGATTGGACAGATGGGTAGAGGAGGAGCATGAGTGGAGGGATGGTAGAACTAAAACAGAGTGGATGGGGGAAATACAGCCACGTGTGGGGAATGGAGAGAGAGGTATATAGAGAGAGAGGGTGGGAGGACGGGGGGGGGGGGGGGGAGAAATAACGGACAGGCAGGTCTGATATAACAAATGAGGCCTAATAGCAGCTGAAATGGAATCTACATTACAGGTCCTAACTGAGTGCAGTACTTCAGGGGCCCGGCCCCAAAAGGAGCAAATAATAGCGCAGGCCTGAAGTGGTACTTGAGTTTCTCCCCAGCAGATGAGGGAGATGTGTAGGCTGGAAATGAGATTGAAGGGGAACAGGGGGAGCACTCCACTGAGAGATACTGGCCTCCTTCCTCCTATTTTCGACATTGTTAGAAATTTCTCAAGAGGTCAGCGTGTGCCTGACCCGCTTCAATGCAGCGCTGTTTACGTCGCATGCAGGAAGACCGCAGATGCCAAACTGTGATTATCCGAAGTGCGCCTCAAGATCCTGCAAAATAAAGACGGGGCTGTTCTTCGTGTTCCTGGGACGTCACCTTTGTGGCCTTAACACGGCTAATTTGATTGAAATCCATGTCATATTTGCCCAGACAATAGGGAGTCATTATAGTGGTTTTCACTGATGCACGTGTGTTTATCCTACAGAATGAGCCCTGCACTGTTGAAGGCACACTTGCATTAGTGAGATAACATAAAAAAAAAGAAATCTAAAGCTTGCTTGAATGCATTCAAGCAGTCCAGAAAGCAAAGGTTGTTTTTCTAAGTCATCTCCGAGAGGAGTGCAAAATACAGCACAGTCTTCAAATACTGTTTACAATTTTAAGGGACATTTTTAGAGAATTTAGCGACACCTAGTGGTTTAATTACACCCCGCAAGTCTTGTCCAAGCACGCATTAGCCTTAAGTTATTATAATTATTATTATTCAGTTATCAAACGTGACCATCCAGCACCTCATGAAAAAAAGAAAACATTCTGAGGTCATACAACAATAAATAAATAATAAAAACATTACTTGCGGAAAATAAGTTTCCTTTTTACCTATAAATAATAGGAAATACTTTATATATTCAAATATTAGAAGTAAATAGTACTACAATAATCTTGTCATTAAATGGAGACAATGACGTTGCGGCTTCATTACAGAGGTGATCAGACTATCTGACACACACACACACACACACACACACAGACAGACGGATGCTCGCAGATATAGATGGTGGTGCTGTGTAAGAAAGGAGCTGCAGACAGGCTGCGAGACGTGAGCAGCCACTGATTGTTGTTGTATTGATCACGTGATCGGTCAATACTCTGCTCCGTCTGAAACATTATCTACTGCTATCAGGTTCTGCACTACTAAACAACAACAATAATGAAAACAAAATTTCAAAAATGCTACAAGTCCCTTTTAACGGGGAACAGTTGCTGCCGCTCCAGTCGAGGCAGACATGGTGGACACGTCAACGTGTCAGTAATCAACTCGTACATATACATATTTGTCTGTCGTCGATGAGGCTGCGAAGACTTAGAGAATTACAGTGATTACATTTAGAGACTCTGGAAAACTCATTTTTTGAATTCTGCCTCAACCACCTTTACTTTAAATGAGCGTGACAAATCTTTGTTCCATTTTTTAATTCAGCAGAAATTTAATAAGGATTTAATAAGGATAAGGACAAAGGATTTTGCTGACAACATAAATGTAAATAAAAAACAATAATCTTGAGGTTTTTATGCATTGAAATATTTCAAATTTTCAACAAAGTTCTTTCGGTTTTGGTCTTTTTTTCTTTAAAATGTTTTACTATATTAATAATAAAAATAAAATAAACAGAATATTGTGATCTATACAGCAAGTTTTTATTTTTATCTCATATAAAATTTAAAAACCTTGAAATAAGAAAAAAAGGTCCTGATTTTCCACTACTTTTCATTACAGATTAAATGTCTAATTCCTTTTTATAGAAAAAAAAACATATGAAACAATATGTTGTGGTAATACTTAAAGATGAAACCTGGTTCAGGTCTTCAGTCCTCAGTTCTGATCCATCTTCTGCTCCAAAACGTTTTGGTCAAACGTCTGCTCATAAAGGTGCACGGCCTGCATTTGCACTTTCCTCTTTCCTGCATGGCTCCATTTTTTTATGGGTTTCTGTTTTTTTTGTTGTGAATTTGTGTGCGTACGTGTGTGTGTGTGTATGTGCGTGCGCATTCACTTCTGTCAGTCCACTTAAGGGCCTTTGGTTTCAGAGGAAGCCATTGTGTTTCCTCCATCTCCTAGCAACCATCACCAAGGCCAGCGCTCCATTGTTGCTGCGGCTGAGCACCTGAATCGCTGCTGCCTGTTTCTATGTTTCTACTCTGCAAAATTGTACTGTAATTTCACAAAGTGGCGTTTCAGCATTAGGGACACAGACAGATTGAAGGGGCATGGGGGGGGGGGTATTTTTCCAAAATTGTAGGACTATAGGAAAAGTGGGGTAAAGCTGGATTTTGGTAGTTTGGAACTAGGAGCTGCACTTGGAAAAACACACATGAAAACATGGAGCCGAAGAAAAGATGCTACGGGTATAATTTAAAAAACAAATAACAGGCAGTTTGAACGTGTTTAAACGTGTTACTCTTACTGACTAAAGTGAGTTGTTTCTATGTGAAATTAAGAGAAAAAGATCAAGTTAAAGCAGAATAAAACAAATTAAGACTTTGTTTCTTGTTGAAATGCAGTTAAAGATTCTCGATATGACTGAAAGAAAAGAGAGGATATTGCTGTATTTCTTTTTTTTTTTTGAAGCTTCATACAAAGGTTTTTTGAAGTTGAATAGACACCAGATTCTGTGAATATATATCCTGTTTGCAAAGATAATTTAAAAAAAAAAAACTGAAAAAAAAATCTTCACCTTTGTATTGGTGGATTTAAACATAAAAAAAATGTTAAAAAAACAGAGTGACGCAGCGTTGTGTTGCAGTAAGCAGTGAGCTGAACAGAGGACACATACAGCAGCAAAGACTTGGGTTTTTCTCTGAAAAAGACAGTAATTTTTTTTGTTATCTTTTTGCTGCAGAAACAAATGCCCGACTGATCTCAGACCTTCAACAACCTTCTGACCAGATCTTCACTTTAAAGCTGACGGAGGTAAAAACATCTATTACTGCTGTTCTTAAGAAGCCACAGAACACGGCTGTACAGCTGAACGCTCCTCACTGCTTTAGAATTCCAACGGAATGCAAATGATTAATTTGATTCATTTAAATTTGGTTAACAGTTAAAGTTAAAAGTGAAAATGCACTGGAAAGAATAAGAAGGCATCACGCCCGGCTGTGAAGACAGAAAAATGTCAAGATCAATATAATAAGAAATTAACAGCCGTTTTACTGTTGCCTGATAACTGGAAACAGACATGAAGAGTCAGATAAAACTGAGAGATGATCAATAAAGGGATAGATAGATGGATAGAATAGCAACGAAACAGTGAAAAATATGTACTGAGCAACATGTGGTGGGCGGGATTTAAGGCAGTGAAAAGGAGATTGTGGGTCTGATTTTTTTTTTTCCTTCTGTGACGTCACGTTTTACACAGTTTCTTTGAATAGCACCTGAGAGCACGGAGGGCTGTCTGTCAGATCTGAGTAAAAAATATAACCCATGCCTGCAAAAACACATCCATCAGTGTGTCTCTGCACTGACCAGCAGACACAGCGTGTCCTGTCCTCGCTCCGAGGCCATGTTTGTCCGTCAACGTCTGTGTCCTCTTGCGGCTAACTCTTCCAAATTGGCCCCTATTTTTTACTCAGTTTATTCCTCTCTCCTTTTTTTTTTTGTTTTTGTTTCGATCTACGATTTCAAGTGACTCCACTCTGTTTTTTAACCATCCAAAAAAAATACCCCCTTTTTTTTTCTTCTTTTTGTTCCACTGCAGTTGACCCTTTCACGGATGACCCCATGCTGCGAGGTAAGTGCCAACGATTTCAAACGTTTTCTCTCCCTTTTTTTAAGAATTAAAGCTAATATTTTATACTAATTTGATGCTTTTTGTTCTCTCCATTTTTTTTAAAATTCCTGATTTTCTCTCGCAACTGCCGAGTCAATATCTACTGCTTTCTCCTCGATATATTTTACACTTCATTCTGTCTTCATTCTATAAATCATTGCATTCAACATCAGATTGACTGCATACAGATGTTAAAAAAAAAAAAAATCAACTGTGGCAGAAATCTTTAGAACTGGTGACACGCCTTTAATGTGACTGCAGAGAACACTCACTCAGATCAGCCTTTTATCTTCACGTTCACACACTTGAACTGGACAAACTGCAGCTGCACGCACACACGTGCAAACACACACCGGTGTGGAATCATGCAGATCAGGTTTCATTGTGTCTGTGAAGTACACACACACACATACACACACACCCACTGTACGCAGGGTTGTCTGTGTCGAGGATCCGTGGAGATTAGACCGATCAGGTTTCAGCAAGTACTCACTTCCTTCATTTTGTGTGTGAGCGATTGTGGACAGTACAGGCAGTCGCTAATCTGACAGATTATACACAGCCAGATTATATTGAACTCATTTATTCAATCGAACTCCAAGATGAGTGAGAGTGCGCAAAAATGTCGTGGAAGATTGACGATGTGAAAAAAACATGTTTCTGTCAAAAATGTTTAAATCTTTATATTAGAGTTAATAATGTAGTACAACAGTCAAAAATAGGTTTTTTGAACCATATATATATATATATATNGATTTTCTAGTTTTATTTCAACGTTACTTTGTCTTCACTGTCCAAAAAAGACGTAGCAGTGACAAAGAAGTTGGACAGTTGGTCCTCAGTGTGATGTAACAGAGGACTGGGATCAGCCGGGACTGACCGATCCAGGATCTCACCTTGTAAAAGGTGATAACGATGGCTGAGCGCGTCGCCAGCAATTTAGCCAAAAAAAGTAGTACTATAGTACTCTGACAGACTAGAAGATTCTCACATGTGCAATTTCAACAGTAAAATTAAGACAAAGACTGTAAAAAAATGGAACCATAACTTTTTTTTGAGTGCAAAAAAGTAAAAAAAATGAATTAAAAGAACAATATTTTGTGTGTTTTTTAGGCTGATAGGGATCTGCAAATAAAAAGTCATCCTGTAATATCAGACAATTGAAATCATAGCACTTGAATGGTGAAAAAAACTAGAATAACGGGACTATATAATACAATGAGTTTAATAAGTAACCATAAATGACAAAGTTATCAAACCAATATTGTTAATGCTGTTGAAAGAATATCATAAATACTGTTAATATTCATAAATCATCATTATCATCATCAATCACCCCAGCATTCTGTTTGCCTCAACAACATACAGTCTTAGTGATCCATCAACAAAAATCATAAATTACAAATATTTCGATCATGTGACGCACAAGATTAATTGTGTCATGAATCTTTTTCACCTTGAATCTGTGCGCTTAAAGTCTGGTTTTAATTCAAGAAATATTTGACGACATCATTTAAATCCTCATATCCTTACAGTCTGTCTTAAAAAAAAATGGAAATCTAAGACCTGGGGTGGAGGTCACATTAGTTTCAGCAGATTTTCTCAAGTCCAAACAGATACTTTAATCTCTAAGTACTCACCTAAATGCAATAATAATAATAATAAAAATGCAATGTCACTTTTAGCAAGTTTAAAACGTCCTTTAAGTCATTTGCAGTTTTTCAACCATAATTCACTAAATTCCGATCCAGACGTGTGCAGTTGTCACCTTGTAAGTTTGACAACCATTTTTAATTGCCGTGAAAATATCTTAGTTTTGGGAAAAAAACAAAAAACATCATGTTCTTATCTTCCAAACCCAGCAGCAGCTCTTTTTTTCTTTTTTTTTTTCCTTTGATCATCTGAAACAGTATAAACTGCTACCAACACCAAAAGGTGTTATAGCTTTGATTATCACACACAGTCACACTAACGGCTCATAAAGTGACATGTGGAAATCACACATTCAAATGAGCAGCCTTTATGTTGTAATTAATCAGGCCGCCTTCTCCAGATTTACGAACAAAGCCGCTAGTCATTAGTCGCACGTCTTTACTCTCATGCAGAATTGAATGGATTAATGCGTTCAACAGGCTTTTATCCTGAATATCATGTTCAGATCTCAGTTCCTGACACTCGTGTGTGGCCGTCCCAGCACGTGATGTTAGGTGTTGAAATAAATCTATTAACAGCTCTACGTTCTCTAAGTGACACATGTATAATGTGATGTTTAATTTGCCCACTCTCTCACGCGCGCGCATGTGTGTGTGTGTGTGTGTACAGGACTGTATTAAGTGTCATAGTAAGTGCATCAGTGTATTACGTGTCCAGTTTAAGCATTAACAAAATGGCAAAGTTCCAGAGAGGAAACATCTGACTCTACAGTCGGGGTTTCATCCAGCACAGGAGCCGACCAGAGCCAAAACACCAATATTAAGGTTAAATTATTGATTGCTGTGTACACAGACGCACTTTGTTTAAGGTGGAATTAAGTGCAGACGTCGTTGATGCACGTACAGCAGAAACGGTCCAGTTGGATGCGATCAGTCTGAGAAGAAATGTTAGGGTTACAGTTGGTGGAGAATTTGGGATTTAAACACTAAATAAATGAAACAAATAATTGATAAATGCAGACTGGCAATGTGACCGGGGGGTTGCAGTGTTTCTCAAAGAGTGGGTTGTGGTTCAACAGCGGGACAGAGAGAATAGTCAACTAGTAATGTTCTACTAGTTTGGTTTATTCCTGAGCCTCTGGAATTCCAGATGGTGGGCTGAGAACCAGTATTGAGTAGCAGGAATACATTTATTGGGATATGCTGAACACATAGGCAAGAAATATCAAAGGATTCATAGAACACATCAAAGGTCAGTTAACACATTTTAGATTGTAAAAATGCCAATCTCTGACTTTTGTCAGACAATGACAAAAACACACTTGACAGACGCCACAAAAAAGAACCTTTCCACAAAACATCAAAGGAGACATAGGATACATCAAAGGAGTCACCACATTAACCTTTGAAAACCTTATGAAAAACATTAAATTAGACAAACCACAGAAAACTTGGTAGACCACTAGGTTAGGATAGGCCGAAAAAAAGAATGTCGTAAAATATTATTTGGATTTTATTCAATTTTTTTTTTCAAAAAACAAATCTCTGACCAAGAGCACCAGATTTTGAAGTCACAGATCAGAAATGTCCTGTGAAGTGTTAATGTTAATGAGTCATTCTTTAGCTCAACTGAAGGTCAGATATTTGTAGTTTGAGGCAATTTTTGTTCATTCTTTCAGCATCTCTTGTCCTTGACCTCTCCTCTCAACCGTCACCTGTTACAAGCGAGTCTCTCTGCATTGCTGCTGCGTGACGTCCGAAACAAATACCTCCATAAACTGACATCAGAGTGCAAAAAAATAAATAAATAAATAAAACGCAGCAGCAGAAGTGAGCGACAGCTAATCTGCAGTTTCTATTCTCTCTGTTCCAGTCTTCAGGGCTGGCACTGCTTGTTCTTAAGCCTTGGATCTCACAGCAGATACCCCGCTGATGATGCCGCACCTTGACCTTCAGGATTGAGACCACCCTCCGTGCCTCCATCAGTCCCTCAGCCTTGTCCTTCCAGCATCATGGCAGCCTTCACAGGTCCAAACAAAGCTGTTGATTCTGTTTCCAGGTAGACGATGATTTGAGAGAAATATATAAAGACAGTGTTTTTTAGCCAATAAGAGAGACTTTATCATTAGCTGCTGGTCATTATGGAGATGTTACTACTTTTTAGAGTTTTCTTGAAAATATTGTGCAAAAATGCCAATAATAAAATGAGAAAGCATCTTTTTTTAAGTTAATATCTGTTAAGATATCAATTTCTAGTCACAGTGCCTTCTACTGGCAACAGGTAGGTCATGCACTTTGCTGAAAAAGTAAACTTCTGAACTCCTTCAACCTTGATCGATCATCAAACTGTACATGATCAGTGAAAGACTTCTCTAATACTGCCCCCAACTGGATGAAAAAAATACCAAAGGAACACATGGCAGAAAATATGTTAATTTGTTTACATCAAAATGTGATCTGTGCAAAATTTACTAAACCAAACTTGAGGTTGGCCTTTTTTTTAAATCCGTGGAGATATTTCACCTTGAATGTTATAATATAACAGTGCTGCCTTCATTTGTTTTGTTTTTTTGTTTTGCCTTTTTTTTTTAACTATTAAATATGTTGAAATTTTAATACTTAAACAACAGTCATCGAACTACTCACATATGAACAGGGAGTAAAGCGCTGCCGTGCTCTTTAAAGTGTCTTTTTTCTGCAGATATGTTCTCGTCAAACTGCTCGATTTCGTCTGCAGCAACACAAAAAGAGAAGGTCGCTCTAGAATCAGCAGAAAACGCACCGACTGCAGCCTTCGGCTGAGGAGTTTGTGGAAAAATGTGAAAAAGTTTGTTTTCTTTTTTTCTTGCAGGAGGGCAAAGAGGTTCTTTTTTTACATTCTCAAATGCTCCGTCGGCCCCACTTCCTACTACTTCCCTCCCTTGTTTTGAAGTAAGACATTCTACTTTACAGCTCAAGGAGGCCACCTTGAGTCTGGCTGGTAGCCTGGCAACAGAACCGGACGAAAGAAGGATGGAGGCCACGGGGAGTGGAATTTCTACCCTGATTTGTTTCCTTCTTTTTTTTTTTAGGTTTGTTTATTGAGGGTCAATGAGCGGAGAGGCAGAGCGGCATCGTGTACGCCTTGTCTGAACTATATTACCTTCATGGTCACTAAATACACACAAAGTCTCTTTTTTTCCTTGGGGTCTACAAAGCATTTGGAACAGAAGTCGGACCTGAACTGCAAATCGGTCACACACAGACACTTGATGCCGGCAAATTTATACATTTTAAACTACATATTCAAATTTTGATTGCATTTTCTCATCATATTCCCTTTCTATTCTATTCAATTCTGTTCTACTCAGAGAATCACACTAGGTTATTAAACTAACAACTACATCTGGTCTGGGTTTTTTTCTTCATCCACTGCAGAAGGAAGTCCACTGCAGTGTGGAAGACTAGTGATTTTGTTGTTTTGTATTAAAACTGACAACAAGTCACAGTCTCCCTAACTGCTCTGAGACGCAGACCTTTCAAAGTCTTTTATTCTGTGTACATTTTCAATGCTATAGGATTATGGGAACTTGTTTAACATTATTTAATTTCAACCTCAGTGGAACATTATTCAACTTGAATTATTCATGTGTTTATTTAAAAGACTTTATGATCATTTTTTTTAAATTATTGCTATTTTTAATAGTTTTTAATAATAATGATTTGTCAACACAGATCTTAGAAGGTGTGTTTATTTAAAAGATGATCATTTTTTTTAATTATTGCTATTTTTAAAAGACAGGGTTGTCAAATGATTTGTCAACACAGATCTTAGAAGTCCTTGACGTCCCCGTGAGGTAAATGTGAGTTGCACAAAATCGTACAGATGTCAATTCATATTTGAGCCACCTTCATTGATCTGTCAGATTTGTTATCAGTCTAAATATAAAGTACAGGTTATTTATTGGCAATCAGGGTCAATACAGCCATCGATTCAGATTATTTCGACCCAATTCCGGCTCTAAGATTGAGACTGCTGCGGCTTTACAATATTGACCTTCGGTGACCCCATGTCAAAGGTTCAGCTGATATTGACATTTTCTGAAGTTCTAGTCAGATTCTGAGACAAATTTATGTTACTCTTAGGCTCATGACTTTTCCCTAATTGACATTAGCGCTCAGAATGTATATAATAAACGGAGTTAGCTCATAAATAAAGAAGAACTTCAACGAGGAGAGTTAGTTAGAACACCTTTAATAATACTGATGATGTTGAGATGACACAGCGTAACAGACAAACATGGTTAAAGGGGTTGATTTCTGAACGGAACAAATTAATTTACTGAGGTGGCAGCAGGGCCTTGGCCTGCTCTGCCACCTGCTGGAAGAACTTCTCCATCAGGTTGGTCAGAGGTTTGACCTGGGTGTAGAAATTGTCAGTCAGGGGCTTGACCTGGGCGTTGAAGTTGTCAGTTATGGGCTTGATGTGGTCATCGATGTTGGTGATGAAGGGCTTGACCTGCTCCTGCAGCTTGGTAGCCTCAGCCTGAACCTGGTCCACCAGGGGCTGGATCTTGGTCCTGCTGTCCTCAACGTATGTCCTGAAGGAGAGGTGTAACACTGCAGTTGCGTTCATGCACCTTTTTCTGGACTTTTTGTACTTAATTTCTATTGTATATAACTCTTCTGTGGTAAACGATGAACTGTTCAAATGTTTAATGAAATTAACTTAAACAAATTAAAGTTAAAAAAACAATTTCACACACAATTGCATCTTGTTTCTAGCAGTAAACCCTCAGTTGTTATTTTGTTATTGTTTCTTTTTTGTTTTTCACCATTGAAATACAAAGATACTGATTTGTTGTTGTTGTTGTTTTAAATATAAAGAATAAAAGAATTAAGAATAAAGTATTTTAATACAAATAACTTAAATATGAATCTTTAAAGAATAAAGTATTTTAATACAAATAACAAATGGTCTTACTCTGATTTGTTTAGAGAATGGATTATTGTTTCAAGTAATACAATTTAAATATGTGTGTTTCTAAATTTACTCCCTCTGGTTTTCACAGATATAAAACGTGTACAATAGTGACATTAAATATAACAACAGGCCTTTTTTGGCCATGTTGACCACACTGATCTCCGATCAGTTTACAATAGTTGTTGTGATGCAGGCCAGTGTGTGTGTGTGTGTGTGTGTGTGTGTGTGGGTTGTGTACTCACTGGGCAGTGTTGGCCAGCTCCATAGCCTGAACCTTCTCCACCATGTCCTGGGTCGCAGTGGTGATGCTGGCAGACATGTCTTTGATGAGCTTCACCATCTTCTCCATGTCAGCCTGAACATCACGCCTCACCACAGACTTGGCCTCAGAGCCTGAGACACAAACACACACACGTACATATGTTATTCTGAGTATTTAACTGGTGGTATTTGTCATGTTTACATTATGTTAAATACACAGATATTGCTGTGTTAAACTGTTTCAGTGAAGCCTGGTTTTGACAGAGAGTGCTATTGTTTCCAGTAGATGTTTTTAACCACTTAACCTAACAGGTAGGTTTATCTAGGCATGTTTTTATTTTGTTTTTTGCTGACCTGAGATTTAATTTAAGACAAACCATCATTTTGTTGTTGTTTTTACATTTAAAAAGTATATATATTATCAAGTCTTTTACTAAAATAAGGTCACAAAATAAGATTCCTTTTTTAAATGATGAAAATCAGACTCACCATGGGCGACAGCCAGCAGAACCACAAGGGCGGCAACAATAGAGAACTTCATGGCTGCAGTTTAAGAAGATCAACCTGTGGAGAGCAAAAAAAAAAATCAAGTTAAAATAAGGAAAAAAACATTTCAAATGTTACAACAGTTTCAATGAAATCATCACAGAGGCCGAGACAGACAGGTCAGAGCAGACACTGTACCTCAACTCCTAGGGTTCTTGGACTCAGTGGTGCCTTCTGTCAGGGAGACCGTGGCTTTTATAGCTCCACACGCTGAGTGAATCACAGCTAATCAGGATTAAATCAATGTAGAAGAGGTGACATGATGAGAAAAGCATTGTGTTGGCTGAACCTTTGGTGCCTGGTCGCTGTCACACAAGAGGAGCAAAGTCCTTCGTGTGTGTGGCAAGGAGTTAAATCATCACGAGCTTTCATGTCATTTTCAAATGTTACAGTAGTCATGGAGTCTTTGTGTCATTGTTTTAACCACAAAAGTTCAATTCTGTCACATTTGAAAATTAGTTAATGTGCACAGCCCTCAGAAGGTTTGGGTTCTATACACTGAAATCAAATTATATTTTAGTCATGTGTGTTTATCATTGCTATTATGCAAATATGAAGCTATACAAGATGAAATCATATTTTTAAATATTATGTTCTGCTTTAATTGGAAATTGTGTTTCACTAATTAATAACAATAATGTTTTCATCATTCATTTCAAATTAATAAAATATTAAATCAAAGGTTTGGATTATAGGGTATGCAAATTCTGAAAAAAATACAACTAGTTTGTGTAGTAAATTTGTAAATACAAACTAAAAAACAATTTCAAGCTATAACAGAAAGTCAATATATATTTATATTATATTTAATTTGCTCTGTAAAACCATGTATTTCCCACTGAGATGTTGTGTTTTTGGGTCAAGGGTCAGTTACTCAACAGTGTTCAACTCAATCTGTGTTCATCATGATTAACTCTGCAGCCGCAGCTGCTCTATCAGCAGGCATTCCATTCAAAGAAACTGATAAGAAGAGCACAAGATACAATAAAGCAGATACAGCTGTTATCATCAGTGTCGTCAGGTGATTAACATACGACCTACAAACCCATGATTTTGATTAATGTCTTGACATTGTATTGAAGTTGAATAACGCCCTTCTGTTGTATTTGTTAGGACTGAGCTTTCACTGTACCAATAATGTGGTAAGAAGAAAAATAGTTCATAACAGTAAGTCCCTTTTATTGTTTTATTTTGTGTTCAGCCACTGAAGTGTTTTGTGAAACATAGATAGAAAGAAACAAAGGAATGAGAGTTTGTTTAAATGTGTCAGTGTATAAAACTAAAATCCCATAAATCACTACTTGATTTCTGCGCTTGAAGTGAAACATGTTGAAGAGGTGGAGCCTGCCATCCTGTGGTCAAAACTCCTACTGCAACTCCAAAATCGTTCTCATCTATACTAAAATTAAACTACAACAACACTATCTTTTTGTGTTGTTGGTGTAATAAATGTGCAAACAAAGGTCTATTAACTTTATGGAAAAAAGCAGCATACAACAGAGAATATTGCTTTGAATAAAGCTTGTCAAGCTCTAAGCAGTGGGTGATTTATATTTAAAGCCATCTATTTTGAATTAAAGAAAATAAATAAAGACAGTAAAAGTTATTTTCCATAAGAATAACAGAGAGGGAAATTAGAACGGTGGCGTTTAACATTGTATCGTATTCCAACTGTTGTATGTTTGTTCCAGACCAGCAGGCGGCAGTAACTATAACACCGCACTCCATATTTAATGTCTGTCTCTTTAACGTTACGTCAGAAAGCGCGACGGTATAACGACGCCAGTTTTAGATATACTTCCTGCTTTATCACCGAATGAGTTTTCTATGATGAAACCAAGGGTAAAGTAAATGTGTTCATGTCATGTGAGTTTATTTATTTAATATCAGTGTTTCTTTAATTAATATTTACCATTCGATAAAGTAGTCGGTTGTTGTCCTTTGCTAGTTATACAAGTTAAACAATACTACTGTACTTTCTATTATTATCCCTAGTCTTAAGTGGTGCATTATTGTTCCTCAACCACACGAAATCACAAATATGTATTATAATGTCCTTATGACCTGGCCTTATGCCTGATCTGCCTAAAACCTCCATATCTATTCAGAACACTGCAGGTCTTTCCAAGGATGCTGCTGATTGTAGTCAAGAACCACCCCTCCTACACAGTGACCTCTCTTCCTTTCCTCAGCCCTGACCTACAGTAGAAAAATGAAGCAGGAATACCAGGATCTGATCCTGCAGGCCTGTGGTGCGTCATCTCTGCAGGTCGGTGCAAAGATCCAGACCCTTTGGAGTGGCTACGGGGAGATAGTGAGGTTACATCTGAAGGGCTGTGACCGACCTTCTGTGGTAGTGAAACATGTCAAGTTTCCTAAAGAGACCAAACACCCATGTGACTGGAACTCAGATCGCTCCCACATGCGTAAAGTGAGGTCCTATCAGGTGGAGACGTACTGGTACCAGAACTATCACACCAATCCAAAATGTCGAACCCCAGCCTGCTTGGCTGCCTTGTCCCAGGGAGATGAGATGCTGATTGTGCTGGAGGATCTGGATGTTGTCGGCTACGATAAGAGGAGGTACATTTTCATAATATCGAGGCAACGTGAGCATATATATTACATTTGGCAATTTATATACTGTATATATAGATTTATAATAAAATTTCAGGATTGTATGAGAAAATCTAACTAATATATATATACATATACACACACACAGATAAAGGTGTATATATATATATATATATATATATATATATATATACAGTATATATAGAAATAGTGGTTAGTGCTGTGGCTTTGCAGCAAGAAAATCACTGTTTTTCTTCTTGTTTGTTTGCTTGTTTGTTTGGCCCGATAATTACTTACTCCCTAAAAATGATTAAGCAATAGAAGATGATCATTTTCAGTAATTATATTTATGTACTGCTACAAAATAAACTAAAGGTTTTAGAAAAATTAATAATTAAGAGTGAAAATAATGTGAATCTTCTTAATAGTTTCCAAAAAGGAATATTTTGTCATGTTACTACCGTATGACACCAAAAAATACTTGACCTTTGTGCTGTTAAAGTTCTCAGAATGCTGCTAAATTGGCTGCTGTAGAAAACACCAAACTTCTTAAGACAACTTTTTGTTATGTAGGTTATGTAGATGCCATTACAAGAGATTGTTTATTTGGTGGCTGCCATTTCCCATGCTTTAGATATCAACGCCTAAATCTATAAAAATACATGTTGATTCTGATAAACAGCTTTGTTTGCTTTTATAGAACCAGTCTGAAAGACAAAGAGATCAGGGCCTGCCTAGGCTGGCTTGCCCACTTCCATGGTCTCTTCTTGGGTGTTGCTCCAGAGGGACTATGGCCTGTTGGCACTTACTGGCACCTTGAAACCCGACCAGATGAGCTGGAGGCAATGGATGACCTGGAGCTCAAGGCGGCTGCTGGTGACATTGACAGGGTGCTCAGTGGCTGTCGCTTTAAGACTATCGTTCACGGAGATGCCAAATTGGCCAACTTCTGTTTCTCTCAGGATGGACAGGGTGTGGCCGCTGTAGACTTTCAGTATGTTGGTGGAGGCTGTGGCATAAAAGATGTGGTGTATTTTTTAGAAAGCTGCATGGACGGAAGGGAGTGTGAAAAGAAGGCGTACAGTTTCCTGGATTACTATTTTACAGAACTGAAATCAGCAGTGAAAAAGGAGGTGGACTTTGGTGCCCTGGAGACCGAGTGGAGGGAAATGTTTGCATTTGCATGGGCAGATTTCCAACGTTTTCTTCTTGGATGGGATCCTGGACACTGGAAGATCAACCGTTACAGTAAACAATTGACCAGGGAAGTGCTAAACAAATTAAAAGGTTGAGCTTAAACAAAACAACATATTTTAAATTCCCAGAGAATTGTGAGTCTGAAAAGGCAAAATATCTGTAAATAGTGGAAAAGAAAAGGCTTCCAATGCTACTTTTGGTGAAACTCGTTGGTCAAACTATTTCTTGTTGAATAAAATCTAAAAAGGTGCCCTAACCATGTGTGAACATCTACTTTTACTGTACATTTTCTAAAAAAAAAAAATTAAAAAGCTTGAATTTTTAATAAGGATTTTATTGAATTTTTTTTTTTATTTATGCTAAGACATCACACTAAGTAACCTTATAATTACAGGGGCATTTAAACCTTGCAGGAGTTGTTTCTCTTTAATAATTTAAATAACAATATTGGATTTAGAGATAATGAATGGCTGGTTGATTATTATTTTATTTTACTTTTAAACAAAATAGTTATTTCCAGTGGACTCACCACCCGCAGGAAGGTTTGGGGGGTTGGTATGGTGCAATGTGATTTGGGTGGCGACTACTGTCCCCGCGACCCGGTAACGGATAAGCGGATGAAAATGGATGGATGGATGGACAAAATAGTTATTGTTTTGTTGAGGGGTTTCTACATCCACCAAAAATGTAAAAGCGATATTTTCTGTTATTTTAACCCACAGAACACACAGTAACGGACAATATATACAATATTCATCAGCTTTTCCTGGGTAGATAAGTTTAACATTATACAGGAATTATTTGCTTCCTTTACAGCAGAATCAAATAACCTAATTTAAAGTGTATATTACAATGGCCACTCTTTTTTATGTTTCAATATATTAAAACATTTGAAATAAATAAACCTGTCCTAATATACTTGATACTATATATTTTATAGTATATATTTATACTATATAGTATATAGTATAACTATATATATACTTTATTACATTCCTAAAAATCAATTATAATTCATCATGCCATTTATTTAAAATGTATTATTATTATTGTTATTATTATTATTATTATGAGACTCAGCTGTTGTGAAGACGGTGATGACGAACTTCCGCTCTTACGCCCGACATTACAACAACAAGAGGAGGAGGTTGCGCTGGGACACGGTTAGAGAAAGACGACGATATCGAAGAGCTGAAAACAGGTACATTAACAAAAGTCTCTCCGACACGTAATCGCGGCGTTTAGGTTTTTCCAGTTACACCGTGTATTATGTTGTCAGTTCCTGTGAGACGTTTTTATTGTCGTCTTTACAGACGGCTTCAGAGCCGACCTCAGCGAAGCTAACATTAGCCGAGCGGCTAACTCTCTTATCTCGGCTTCCTGACATTGGTTAGTGAATAAACAGAGCTGGACTGGATTGAGTTGCTCTCTAAATACAGTATGTTTGTATAACACAATGTTTGTGACATTTTAGAATACCGGAGTGAGGTCACGGTAACTAGTTAAGTTAGCTTAGTGAACTCTGACTCAGCTTTAACTCGGGTTGATTGCCGAGTTTTTTGACAGTTTCCTGTCCAAAAACATGACGCAACTGGACAGGTGTCAGGAAGTGAAGATTAAATAAAAAATCTGTTTGTATAATAGTTATAGTGACGATACAATAATTCTACGGCTTCAAGGAAAATCTTACGTTTTTACGTTAATTACCTGAAAATGTAATGTCAAAAACTTTATCCTGGAAGTTTTTTAAATGCTAAACAAATGTCGAGTGAGCGGTAATTACAGTACTGTAAAAGTAAAACAGAGCTTGACGTGTATGTTTGTGTACTGGTTTGTTCGCTTTCGTGGATATTGAAATGACCTGTGATAAATGTAAACAATGCTTTTAAACTTTTCACAACATTATATATTATATACGGTATATAACCTATGTACTACTTATTTACTAGGGCATTAAAGCCTGCGGTAACAACTCAATTCAGGATTTAAGTTTTAATTTTGTCTTTATGATTTACGTTTTGTTAAACATGTCAACTATAAGGGTTCTTTAAACTTATAGTTAAAATGTTTGCGTACATTTTTCAAAATTCTAATGACATCACTTCTGTAGTGTTTGGATCCTACAATTAAAAGATAAAAGCGTGACATCACTTAAACTCAGTACTATTAAATTGATTTGATCTATCATTAGATTTGGTCCTTTTAGATTCATTTAGAGTTTAAATTTGGGTTTTTATCTTAAGCAAAGCCTCAAATTAAAGGATTACATATTTAGCTATAATATAAGATATATAGTAGATATTGATACAGCTACTGAATATGCAATAAGCTGAGTTTTCATACAAAAATGTGACTTTGCATTGTGGTCTTCCTTTCTTCCAGAAACACAGGAGACACAAGAAGGATTGTGATTATACTTGAAACGAGAAAATATTTGCCAGATGAAGCATACGTATATTGTAGAAGGATAGGTCATTCCCTGCCTGCACAGAAGGGACTGATTGGTGTTAATATTCCAAGTTCACAATGAAGGTTTGAGACAAGTGAGTTCTCAGGTGGATCCTGAGTTGTGATACAAAGGTCTCCTGAGCTCAGGTACATCAGAGCTCACTGGGCGAGTAATATGAGCCATGGACTCTGGGGCAATTGATAGTCCTGTAACCCTGGTCATCAGGGCCCCTAACCAGAAATATGAAGACCAGACCATTAACTGCTTCCTCAACTGGACAGTAGAGAGGCTGAAGAGTCACATCTCCAGTGTGTACCCCAGTAAACCGGTAGGTTTAGTTTTTACACTTGATAACTCTTATTGACCATATGCTATTTCCCTGTCTCACTTTTCTTTTGTTTGCACTGTAGTTGTCAAAAGATCAGCGGCTGGTGTACTCAGGCCGGCTTCTCCAGGACCACTTGCAACTAAAGGATGTGCTGAGAAAGGCAAGGAATACACACACACACGTACAGTACGTGATGAGCTTCTGTAGTCACTAGCCCTACCAGTTGCAAAAAGCTTAATAATGTGTCATAGCTGATATAATGTTGATCATGTTGTTAGGCGTTGTCAAAAACACTGAAACGTACAACACCATGTACTTTGCATTTAACTCATATATGCATATCTTAGGCAAAGTGCAGCATGACAGATGAATGTTGCCTCATCTTTTTCTTACGGACTTTAAAGTGTTTTGTACATATGCTGGTATCTACGTAACAGTTTTTATGTGTCTGTGGGTGTGTATAACTGCTGTTGAACTGGAACAGGCTGACCAGAAAACAATAGTTTATCTATGATCAGCAATGACTGGGCTTTGTATTTTAATGCTGCTCTCTGTTACACTAATTCTCTCTTTCTCTCTCTCTCTCTCTCTCTCTCTCTCTCTCTCTCTCTCTCTCTGTCGCTCATTTTCATTGTCATTTCTTTCATTTCCTCTCTGTCTCTCTAATTCTCTGACAAACCCTCTCATGCCATCAACCTACAGCAGGATGATTACCACATGATGCACCTAGTGTGCACCTCACACAGTCCACCCAGCTCACCTGTTCCTCGGAGCCCTAGCTCCAGGTCTCCTGCTTCAGACTCCAGTGTGAGTAAAGCCTGCACTTATTCATCCTCCAGACCTATGTTAACACTTCATTGGTTTTTAAGTCAGTAAATCCAGGATATTTTTGTCCAAAGCGAACAATCAGAGTGCCAGTGTCTATTATTAGTTCAGACCTACCAAACACTGTAATTGTCCAGAAGGTCACAGGTTCAAATCCACCTAATTCCACTGAGGTGCATCTGAGCTTCCCACTGCTCATTAAGGTTAAAGTTAAAGGCAGAGATCACATTTCATTGTGTGCACTGGTGTGCTTTGTTACAATGACAATAAATCACTTTCACTTTCTATTAACTATTTCAGTGTCAAAAGGAAACAGTGTTTCTGTAAAAAAAAGAAAAAAGAAATCATTTTATTTAATATTTGTATTATTCTGTTGTTGTTTAAAGTATTGACAGTTAGTGAGGTAAATATGACTAGACTTTTTGTTTTACTTTTAATAAATGGAGATAAATGGTGATGTGTGTCTGTAAAGAAATCTGCATTATTACATTCCAATATTTAATATTGATAAAATTGTATCGTGAACCAAAAATTGTGATTCAAATCATGTTGTACAAGTTGAGTGTATCTTTACATGCCTGAAATTGAAAACAATTAAGAATTTATATAACATAATGATAAATTATGATATATTAGTATAAGTTTCAAATTTGCTAGAAAGCAGAATAAGAAAAACACATTTTTTATGAAATGTATTTGTAATGATTGATGTTGGTTGATGTGTCAATCTTAGAGTTCTGATAGTGCCAGCTCCTCCTCTCCTGTTGCCACGCCAAACCAGGACAGTCAAGCAGCCTCCTCCTCTTCCTCCCCTGGGAGTCATGACGGCTTGAGACATCGTGGATCTCTCCCTCCCTTCAGCCCCCCTGGTGCTCCTCAATGGTGAGCCAGCCCCTGACCTCACGATACCAAAGATATTTTAATTCCTGTTTCTATGACAGAAACTAAAAGTTCTTAAGTAATACACCTTATTTAAATGTTGATAGTAATACATTAAATATCATACATATTTTATTTACGTGTAATTTGTTTTTTTCTTTGTTTAATATTCTTTGTTGTTTTTCTGCAGGCCCGATGGAGCTCAGGTCCCATTACAAGGGGGCCTTCCTGCCAACATGCCCCCCCACCCTATGTACATGCCCATGCAGATGCTGTGGTGGCAGCAGATGTACGCACGCCATTACTACATGCAATAGTGAGTCTGTTGACAGTTGACCACTGCAGTGTGTCTTTTTTATGTCATAATTATATCCGTCAGGTGTGGATTTGTTGGCACAAATAATTGAACACTTGATAATTGGTTTCTTTGGGTCCATGTTTTTTTGCTCCCGGAAAATGTGTTTCAGGGCCAATTTTATTTTGATCTATAATTCTTCGCCTCATTTGGCAACATTTTTCATTAACTCTGAACATGCCCACCAGTTAAAAAACATCACATTTTCTTATGCCAATGCTTTCATAGTCCAGATGAATAAAAATTATGATCAAAAGCTTTTGTAGAAATATTTCAGTCCCAAAATTCTTAAGGAATCTCTCCTAGTTGCTTTATATTATAAAAGTTATCAGTTATAAGACAATGAACAACATAAAGTGAGAATAGACTTTATTTTAATTAATTTGCTTCTTACATCAGTGGTAGAAAAAAACAGTTAGGTAATAAAACAAAGAGGGAACACAAACTGTAGTTTTATGTTCTCTGATCAAAGTGTGTATTTTTGTCTCTTTCTTATCCCTTTCCTCATTTTTTCCTCACAGCCAAGCAGCAGTTGCCGCATCTCAGCCTTCCGGTGCCCCTCCCCCCTCGTCCCCTTCACTCCCCCCTCAGCAGGCTGCTAGACCGAACGAGGCTGTGCAGGCCCCACCACCATTGGGGCCTAACCCGGCCCCCAACCCTTTACCTGACAACCCACAACCCAATGCTAACATCCAGATGAATGCACATGCTGGCGCTGTGTTGAATGAAGATGAGCTGAACCGCGATTGGTTGGACTGGTTGTACACAGTGTCTCGTGCTGGCGTCCTCCTCAGCATTGTCTACTTCTACTCCTCCTTCAGCCGATTCATCATGGTGATCGGTGCCATGCTGCTTGTCTACCTGTGAGTAGCACTGGCTGGTTTCCATGCATTGAAGTTAAAAAAAACCTAAGCATCTGAAACAACATCAAACCTGGAGCCATATAAATAAAAACATGTTTTTCTTTATTATTATTTATTTAGACACCAGGCTGGTTGGTTTCCCTTCAGGCCAGAACAGCAGAACTTCAGAGAAGCGGAACGGGCTGCAGCTCCTCAGGAGGAAGCACAGAGACATCAGGACATACAGGAAATGGTTAGTGGGGACAATGGGATTATTATCCCACCATTGGATATTTGAGGTCTGCTTTGAAAAACAGTAAAAACATTTTAGAAGTTACCATCTTAATACAAAAAACAATTTGGTTGATATAAGAATAAGAAAATAATACATAAATTGAAAGATGTTAAAATAAATAACAAAAATTGCTTTAAAAATGTGTTGTATTTTGAAAGGTTTAAATAAGAAGACTTTAGGTCCACAATAAAAGTGCTTCTGATTTGACCAACTCTAATGCGATATTCACACCAAACACAATAAATGCGAATTGAGCGGCAACTCGACAAACGCGATCAGTGTAAACAACAACACAGGATTTTGCGACACGTTTGGAGCGTCTGGAATAAATCGAGTTAGAAAAACAAAGCTGCCATGACATCCAATCAGCGACAAGTTTATTCCAACGTCACCTCCCCGATGTTACAAAGAAGAGGCATGGACTAAAGTTAGCCAGGAAGGAGGGCTCTCTGGTAAGTGGTGAGACTTTCTGTGGCTTGTTTTACAACATTATTGACGGTGTTTATTTTTGCAGTTTTGGTACTTGTAAAGAAGTTACTGCAGGTTTTTTTTTTCACACAATCGCGTTTGGTTTGCACACAGCAAAATGATTAAGGAGCACAGTACAGGTGATTCAAGTATTTTGGGTTTTTTTTTTTTTGCATCTATTGCGTTTGTTGGGAGCACAGCTTTGGGTCCTCTAAACTGGGTACATTACCAGAGAATATGCGTGTAATGGATCTGGAATGAAATAGAATGTGTAGGATAGTCACAGTTTTTTTGACCAATTTTGACATTGAGTGGGACTTCTGTCTTTTTTTTTTTAAGTCTTTTATTTGACATGTTTTTCAGGAACGTCTAATGGATGAGGGAGTGGAGGATGAAGACAGTGGTGAAGAAGGAGGTGGAGCTCCAGAGGACCAAGCCCAGGCTGATGCTCCACCTGCTGCTGCCACTCCTTCCACTCCTGCTAATCCTGCTCCTGCTCTTCCTGAGCCCGGCCTTCTTACCACCGCATGGTCCTTCATCAGCACCTTCTTCACCTCACTCATCCCCGAGGGTCGGCCACAACCAGGCAATTAGGCAGACCTGTTACCTCTAGGAATCTCTCTTCTGCCAGCAGGTGTCACTCTACAGCAATTCTTTCATTTCACATATCTGCCCTGTACTAATCCAGAAAACCATTTTGTTGAGAAATGGTTAGATACTGTATTGATGCCAGGAGACACTACCCAAGCTTCTCGGCTGAAGACTGTCTATGCTGCCAAACAACTGACAGAAGCAGGTAGTGTTTGAGCTGACACTAACATGATGAAAGACACGTGATGAATGTCACACTGTGATATACAGGAGTTCATGCTTGTTCATTGAGGTCTTTTGCATTCATTAATCATCAATCAAAGGTTGGTGACGTCTGTCTTCCATTTAAAGCAGTGATCAAGGTTCACTTCTGATACTTTTTAATTCTGACATAAATATATATATATATATATATATATATAGAAAAAAGTCACGACTAGCCCTTACAAGATAAGGAAATCTAAAAATAATGGAAATGACATCTTTGGAGATTTTTTTATTTATGCACCTGAAGTGCATATGAACGTTGTAGCTACTAAAGCACATTGTTTTCCCTGTTAATATATATTTACACATGTATAGTATATGCATCTGTAATTCTTGAAGATATGCTTTTGGAATAAAACAAATACTTGTTGCATTTGACTTATTATTATTATGATATTTTTTTTACTTTTTCTTGCGTCCTGAAGATGGCAGCATTCACGCAGTTGTTCGATTCACTTTATCGTCGCCGTAGATGTAAAGTACATTGTTGTACAGAATATGAGAATAAGTAATTTTCTCTGGCTGTTTTAATCATCATTATTTTATATCTACTTTATGTACGTTTTGTTATTCATGAGTTTAAATAAAAGCAACACCCAGAAAATAGCTTTTATTTAAGCAAATCTAAAAAAAACCTGCTGCTGAATGTGTATTACCTCTCAGTCCTATAATGACATTCAATTAGAAACTGTGATACGACTGTGATGGCTGTAACCACCTGAGTGTAGGGCTGTCGCCTCATCTCAGTCCAAAAAAAAGAGTGCAAAGAGGAAACTAACTGGCAAGTTAGTGACCCAAGTATAGTGACATAAGCAATGAAATAATGAGAATAACAATTGAGTGCCTCATTCATGCCACAGTGGGGGAAATCAGTGTGAACCCTCAGGCTGCCACACAGGACACACCATTAGGAACAGGTGGTTCCTATGGGACTCGAACCCAGGACCCTCTGTGTGTAAGGCAGATATGTCAGGCATGTGTCTGTCTAATCTGTCAGCTGCTTCTACTTTTCCTTTTATTTTTGGTAAAAGTAGGATTCTGTTTACTACTACTAAAGACTCTACTCTGAAGAGATAACCAGGCATCAGCAGCACATAAAGCCTATTAGTACATGCTGTAGGATCTGTCTGTCAGTCTGTGGAGTGGTAGTTCGCTTGTTGTGAAATAGATGCTGTGTGTGTGAGTATCTGTGTGACCCAGACTATTCCAGAGTGAGTTTGTCCTTGCCTGTTGAGGAAAACTTAAAATGAGAGTCTGAATTTTGTCTTGAAGATGTGAGGGTTACAAGGGCGGGGCAGCGTCGCTCTGACACTGTCCTCCCAGATATGGAGGTGAGCAGGGAAGCAGCTCAGACAGCGATGCACTTCAGAGAGTCCTCCAAAACCCCCTAATCGAATGACCATGGATTTTTGTGTAGTTGGTCGTAGAAGGCCCAATTAATTATGCATGACAGCAGCTTGACGGCTGTTTGATTTCGTTACGCGCCCCCCCACTCTGATCCACCAATCCAATCAGGTTAGGTTCCCCACCACCGCCACCACCTCCCCTCAATTTTCCCCGCAGCTCCAGGGGCGAGGGTAAGACTCCCCTTATCGCTGGGAGAGATTTCTTTAAGAGGGTGTTTGGGTCCTTGTAGGACATTTCATCATCATAATAAGTCCTTGTTATGCAGCCAGCTCGCTGCTGCTCCCCTGCTATCAGGCCTTGTTGTCTGTGGAGCGGCAGCGGTTGAGCTGGACACCTGCCATAGAGGACAGAGAGGAGACAGACTAGGTTTATTAGGAGCAGGGGAGAGATGGCAGGGAGAGATGGAGCAGGTGACACCTGAGAGGATGAGGCAACATGTTGTTCCGCTTGACAGAACAAAAGATTAAAGTACAAACCAGGATTCATCCGAAATGGTAAGGCCAACGACCCCAAGAAGACACTGTGAGAGCAGTGTCTTCACTGTAGACTAAAAAAGTGTTTTAGTAGATAAAGTAGATCTAGTTCCAGGTATCAACCTATAACATTGTTATTCTGCCTTACGAAGCCGAATTTGAAAATTTCACATGTTCATATACAGTATTCATGTTTTTATATTTTTTATGCAGTAATTCAATAATAAAGAAAATCATTTTTTATTGAAAATTAAATTAAATATTCCTGTTTTAGACAAAAAAGTCACCCAAACATAGATGGCGACAGCTTCTCTTTCTGTCAGATCTTGACTCTTAATTTACTACAATCTCTCATATATGACATTTTTGTTCTGATTTTTGTACTGATTGTGAAGGCGTCTGTTGTCAGATGATCTTTTGTTGTTTGTTTATTTATTTATCAAACAATGATGAGGACAGTGCAGTGCAGTAATGCCTAACATCGCTGGTATTTGTCATCTTATTGCAAATGTAACCTGCCTAAAGGAAACCATGAGCTCACGAAGTTACACCTTGTCTTTCAGCTTTTGACTTAACATGCTCAGAATATCATTACTAGTATAATACAACATATAAAACTATGCTGTTCGTCCATATTAATAACCAACACACCAAGTTTGTCTCTGGGTTTTTTTCCATAGACAAGATAGATGTATGTTACAATATATTTTCTACTTTAATATATACTATCCATCCATCCATTTTCATTCGCTTATCCCTTATTGCGTTGTGGGGGCAGTAGCCTCTATGACCGCCGCCCAAATCACACCAGTCCACTGGAAGGTACCGACCACCCTAACCAGGTTTCGATCTTGCCCAGGAGGTGAACCCTGGGGTTCCACACCAATGACAGAGACATTGCCTCCTGGCCAAAGCACCACTAATATATAATATAATTTAGTTAAAAGTTGTGAGGTATGTAAATGTAGAATAATTGTAGATATATTTCTAAAACCAATGACAGAGAGTGTTATTTTAACATTGTGCTTGAAGATAAAAGTTTCGTTTCACCACTGATGTTTCTGGTTTCCTCTTAAGTGCATTACAGAAGCATTTAGAGAGCGCTCCAAACCACTGTCTCAGCCTTTGTGTCCAACCACATTTGGTCAGGGAAACTTCTCTCAGTGCTTTTTACTTTAGCTGAAACCTTAACATTTGTGCATGTGGACGTGAAACCGGTCTGCGCTCCGTCCTGTCGTCTCGATTTGTCCTCAGCTAACTTTGCTTTCAAGGTGTATTTCCTCTAAATCGATTTCCCATTGTTTGCCAACAGGTTTCACCTTTCACCACGGGTCCGTCTGTGTGTTTGCGTCCTTTGTCCACCCTGAAGTGCTCTGTGGCCTGTTTGTTAAAAGCGTTTTGTCGCTACATTTGACTTGGCACATCTTGTCGGGGAAGATTGCAGCCGATGAGACTCTTTGACCTGCAGATAAAACATCCATTAAGCGGCTTGTCTGGGGCGATTCTGTACTCTTAACCTATTAGCATATACTAACCGTTTGAGAGATGGTGCATCAGTGGGTACACGCTGCTCTTCTCTGCAGCCAGTCACCACGCTGTAAAGACACACCTCTCACTCGGCCGCTGTGCCAAATGTCATCTGTGACATTGTAATGCTTGACCACCGTCCTCCGCCAGCCCATTCCAACGACCGCTAAAAGCCCCAGGGAAGGGAAAAAGGGCCGAAATGCAAAATTGATGGAAATGACATTAGATTCAGCTCAGGCTCCTCACCGTGTAAATTATGCCCCAAAATGGACTCTCTGGCCCAACTGTTAGCTCCAATTTGCCAGGCAATACCTCATGGTGGCGGGTCCTGCCTTTCCCCTCTCACTTTAATTCAATCATGGCCGCAGTGGATGTTATTTATTTGTTTATTTATTTATTTTCGAAGGATGTGAGCGATTCTTATCAAAGCAGAAGTGGGGCCTTCTTCCTGGTGAAACGGTGACTAACGTCCAGCCATCGATCCGTCGGCTCGGTCGGTGGAGGAGGGTGAAGTGTTCTGGTGATGGACTCCTGCGTCTGTGTATTCAGACCCAGTCTGTTAACTTCACACAGTGCAGTCAGGACTGCAGATACAAACAGCTCATACTCTTTAAGTCTTTCTTCAGTTTGACCAACGTGTGGTTTTATACCCGTGACATTTTGGCTCTAAATTAACGAAAGTTGGAATCAATTTCAGGTTGACGTCACCATCTTTAGAGATATCTTCTAGTTAGTTTGAAGATTTTTGCTTATTTTTACTGTTACCGAAGTTCTTCTTTAAGATGTAATCTCTTTTGGGTTTTTGTCTTGTTTATGTAATATTATTATTGTATTGTCTTTTTCTTATTTCCGAAATGGAATTGATTCTTCATTTCTCAATTTTGATATGGTATAGACACAATTCTTCAAATGAATCTTGGCTAAACAAATAACATTAACCTGACTTCAATTTCTGCTATAAGTTATTTTTATGAAATTAATAATAATAATAATAATAATAATAATACTTTCTCTTCTAGGCTTTGCTTAAGTAGATGCTTTTTAGAAGATAACATTAAAAAACATGTAGCTATCTTATGTAGCAAATTTAAACTAACTCTTATTTATCCTTTGGATTCTTTGTTTTTATAGCCTGTCTTGGTTTGGGCTGTATTTGTTGTTATCTTGAACTATCTTGACAAACCTCCGGCCTTTCTCATCCATGTGGTTTCTTTGTCAGGTTAAGTGGCACCTCTTAAACTTGTATTCACACACGTTTTTTAAAATTTATACCATGTATAATGTTTGTTAGCAGTACAAGGATATCATTAGAGACTGTTCTACGTGGGTGCTGCAGGAGAGAAACATCCACACAGTAAAAGATGTCAGAGCTGGTTATAGTATCTACCAACTCTTCCAGGTCACAGAGGGTTTTTTCTGTGTCTAATGTATTTATTTTCAGTCTGTCATTTCTTCTCTGTTTCCCTTGATTTCAAATTGAGAAATCAGCAGTGAAAGCCCACGGTTGCTGCTGTTTTACATTTGCTTACAGTTGACAGAATTAGGAACACGGAGGAAGATTTTAGTCACATCTGTCGTTGGAAATTAAACTGGTTCATAGATGATGTAGTAGATGACGTCTGGAGCTTCACTGTCAGACACCGTCACGCTGTTTCGTTCTTTTATTCTTTCTCCTGCAATAAAAAATCAGGAGCATCGATGTGATAAAGGAATGGACAATGGACAGAAGACCAAAGCCGAGTTTTGAGTTACTGTGCATTAAAAGAATTAAAAGACCAATTTCACAATAACGACCAAATGTTGCGCCAAGCTGTCTAACCTGTATGGACAGAGCAGCTGAAGAGAGTCTTCCTGATAATACTCAACCACGTAAATGTGGTTTCATCAGGGCCTGGTAGTTTCTCTGTGTCATCACCTCTAATACAGGCAACCTTGTTACTTTGTCAACAAGCATTACACACTGGTGTACACAATTATGAATTACTCTTCATCTCGTATAAAAGAAGACAGTTTCTGTCTAAACGTTTGGGACTTAGCAAGTACTGATGAGGACATTTGTTAGGAGTTTTATTTAAAAATTAAACATTATATATTCAGAAATCCTGTGACTTCAAAATCTTCATCCGATAAAAACATTTGAAATGTATATAAAAAAGTCATGAGCCGACCGATAAGATGAATAAGCTGTTAACTGAATAAAGTTTTAAAGACTGTAAATTTAAAATTTAGAATTTGACATTGGAGCCTGACATTACAAACGCAGTGAGAGCATTCGTCCACTAGGTGGTAGTGTTCACAGTTAGACCTGTCCATTTAACAATTTAAGCTTTGCGTCTGCGTTTATCAATACTGAATATAGCGATAGCGCTGGCCATGACAGACTATAACGCCACAAATAAGTATATATATATATATATATATATATTATTAATAGCAGTATTTTACTGACAATTCTGCGTTGGCTCTGAAACCTGATGACAGAAAAAGAAAATAACTGAACTAGCTGTGGACATATTTATTGTTGGCATTCTATCAGGTGCTGTGAAGCAGAAAAAGACACGAGGTCAGTCAATAAAATGTCACAAAATGTTTGAGTGATGGCATATAACTGTATTTCTCAAGGTTTACAAATATCTACATGTTTAAATGCAGATTATGGTACATTACACATTATTTTCAGAGAGCAAAATAAATATATTGCACTTAAAATGTCTTTAAAACACAATCAGTTTTTTTTTTCAGTTGTTGATTCACCCCCTCAGTCATAACATCAAAAGGATACATTTTAGTAAAAAGATTGAATTCTTCAGTCCAGGCTACATTCTGTAAAGTCCCCGTCCCTAAATGTCACAATAAACAAAAACAAAACAAACAAAAAACAGACATTGGAAAGCGAAACTCAATTTTCCTAAAATATTTTTCTATGATGTAAAAATGTTTCATAAGTCAAACAGAGCACTTCTGCTGGTTAAAAAAAACAAAAACATCTTATTTATTACACAGACACTGCTTAATGGAGCTCACGCTGGTGTTTCATGGTAAGGAAGATGTTTCTTAAGATTTTCTTCTCAAATGTAGAAGTAAATGTTTTATTTCATTTTCAAAGTAAAATTAAACGGCACAAGACAAGGATTCCTAACCAAAGACTGAGCGGTTCTTTTTCTACATTGAAAACCTGTTGAGCTAGAAACTCAATTTGATAATTTGTCTTTGTTTTCAATGTGTGTTTACTTTTAATTGTACTAGTGGCCCAATAAATTTGCACCATTTCATTTTTGTGTGCTTTCTGAAGCATCTTTGAGTTTTCAAAGCTAATTATTCAGACAAAAATGTCATCAGGACAAAGATATCAGACAAAATGAATAATCACTGAACTCCATTGATCATTTGTTATTGCTGTAACATCTCTTACAGTTCATCAATGGATTACAATAATTTAACAATTAATTTTTTTATATTTTTATCCTATGTTATTGTAAAATCTAGTTTTATGGATTAAATTAAAAGAAAAACATACTAGCAAAATATAATGTAATGATATTCCTGTTTTTTTCCCAATAATGTAACACATATTAATGTTTTTTGACATTAAATTATTTTAACTTATTTGTAGAACTGGACCAGGTTGTGACTGTTTATGCAATGATGCATCCAATTATAAGAATGAGCTTTTCAGCTAACGGCTAATTAGCCAGGAACATTCTTAACAAAATTGTCGTCAAATCACTTTTTTTTTTTTGCTATTTTATCTGACACTGAATTTTATTTTGAGGACTTTTTTAAACTTAATAAAAATAATATATGCTAAAAAGAAAATATGGGACACTAGCAAGGGTTAATTAGCCAGTTAGCATTTGCTGATGCTAGTTAGCAGTTTTTACATTGGAGAATTTGTATGACATTTGTATTGTTCAAAATGCCTGAATCAGTTAGAATTTAAAACACACTTCATTGAACAAGATTTTTAACGATAAAGACAGTTATATAGATCCTAGTTCGTGGCGGATGATTAGCAATAGCTATAGCTAGGCTAAATTCTTTAGCTGCTCCATATATAATTAAGGGGGTTAGTGAAATTAAAATCCAGGGCTGAGAAAAAGACCTGGAAAATTTAAATAAAAAATGAATGTAAATGGATACATTTCTGACACAACTGTTGTGTTTTTAATGCTGGCTTGTATGCATTATTAAGTTAAACTAAAATGTATTCCCCTCCTGTCAAAGATGAGCATATGTATTCAGTAATATCTTATATAAGGTTTACCCAGTGTGTTGTTCTACTGCAGTCAGCATGCGTCCTATGATACATTTATTTTAACTCTACAGCTTGAATTTTCCTATCAGTAAATATGACATTTTTATCTTTGTACAATGCATTTCTACAACAGAGCATCTTATGGTTATAACTCCATACAGCACCATTCAGAAAAGCTGATCAGGCTGTTCTCTACACAGACTGTATGTAACAATTGAACAGGGCTACCTCTGTAGCCCAGTGGACGATGAAACCAGGTCTCGCTTTTCCCGATAATCCTATGGTTTCAACTGTAAGTCCAGAATTACGTAATAAAACGCAGTGTCGGCTTTTATAAAACAATGGTCCTATAGAGAAACAGAGGGAGAAATACTAATGGGACCAAAAATATAAGAAGACGGGACATGTGATTTACACGTCAGCCGCGATATCCTGCGACATCACATTGTTCTCCATGTTAACGGTGTCTGTTATAAACAGTCTCTGGGTCTCCCTCTTTGCTCAGATGGAACCACAAGATCTGGCATGGACAACAGCTGCATCTGAAGTATCTGTGATGTGATTACTGCTGTCCTTGGTTGAGAGATCACACAGCATCCTGACATCATGACATCATGACATCATGACATGTCTGCTGCAGAAACAGTAGCCAGGGTTAAATGATTAGAAAAGGTTTGCTTGTCTCTTTTTTTTCATATATTCCACGGTTCTTCAACAAGACACTTTTCCTTCGTTGGTTATCTGTATTGTAAGTAATAGCTTTTAAAAATATTTTGCGAAAAGTTTTCCAAACTGCTGAACAGCACTCTGGATTCTTTCAGTCCTTTTGGGTTTTTTTTCTGGATTTGTTGTCATGAAGCCATTTTTTTATTTACAAACTGAAACTGAATGAGAAGTGATGAGCCGCTGTGAGAAGGTCACCTTCAGGACTGGTTTAATGTCCTCAACAAAGTGAAGTCATACGAAGGGCGTCATGACAGTAGACGAGTGACGCAGTCCCTGGATGGCAGCGTAGGGCCCCTGCTGGAAGTAGTGGTGATAGCGGGGCATGTGGAAGGATGGGAATGAAGGTCCACTGCCCTGCATGGTTCCAGCCAGGGCGGTTGGTGTTAGTGGCATTCCCAGACGGCTGTAAGGGGGCAGGGAGCCCTGAATGGGGTGGGGCAGAGAGGCGCTGGCGCTCATCGCTGACAGGGACTGTGGGTGTTGGAAGCCAGAGAATCCTGATGTTGTGGTGACCCACGAGCTCAGAGAGAGGTTATCTGAAGCAGTGAAGGCTGAACCTGCCAGAGAAATATTTCAGATGTTTTGATTGGATAATGGAAAGATGTAAAAAACAAAAAGAACCCAGGTGGGATGAACAAGGTTGCCTGGAATAGACGAGTAGGTGTGAAAGCCAGATGCTCACCACGGGTGTGAGCTGAGAGTCCATCCTCACTTAGGTTCTCCTCGTCACCAGTGTAGGTCCTGATTGGTGACCGGGCGTAAGAGTGCTTGTGGATCAGATTCTCAACACTTTCCCTGCAGCAAAAGCCAAAGAGAGAGAGCCCCAAAATAAATCTCATTTGTTTCACCTGTAAAATGCATGAATAATGAAACTGAGTCAGTCATAGCTTATAGTTTTAAAATATAAATCTAAATATCTACTGTATTCTATATATAGCAGATGTATAACATCTGTTGAATTTGTGTGTGTGTGTGTGTGTTTCATCTTTGTTTTCATGGTTAACGGTGTGTCTGTGTGTGTGCGTGTGTGTGTGTGTGTGTGTGTTCCCTATCCCACAAAGTGCATAAGCTCATTTTAAGTCTTGTCAGACAGTACTTCTCAAATGCAGTGACACAAATTGTTGTTGGTTTGGGGAGGGCGTATGGCATGCCTGTGTGTGGGTGTGTGCACATGTGTGTGAGTGTGTGTTAAACAGCCAGCAAGTGGTCTGCCATGCGTCCACATTAGCAGCCCTCCCTCTGCAGCTCCCTGTCCTCCAATTAGGTTAGGAAAGTGCAATATCTGTCAGCAGAGGAGTACAAATGTGTGTGTTTTTATCAGCGCCGGGGGGCCCTGCAAACACAGGGGGCTGCAGCATGGACGAGAGAGAGAGAGAGAGAGAGAGAGAGAGAGAGAAACTCCCACAAAGAACAGCAGCGCTGGAGTGAAGGGACGGTGGGAGGGAGGCGGGGTCTGCTGGCTTCAATCAGTCACTGCGGCCAATTGAATTAGAGTGTGTTTTAGTGCAGTGGGCGACTCCAGACTAATGTGATTTCTGCAGCTCCCTGAAGATCAATTGATCAGGTCTAATTCACAGCCCTCAAAAAGAGAAGGACAACAAGTGTTGTGTGTGGACGTGCATGTGCGTGTGTGACACGGGTCTATGTTTGTGATGTTTGATGAAGTGAAAGCAGCAGATGGTTTAATTTTTCTTGGCCAAATTTGGCCTTTGTGCTGGAATCAGGAATTAGGGGAACTGTGTGTGTGTGTGTGTGTTGGCAGCATTAATTAAAATCCTTTCTCTCGCTTTCTTTCTCTTCTGCTTATTGTGTGTCTGCATTTGATAACGTGTGAGTGACTGAAGTGACATTTTTGTTTTGAGCCCACGGTATTAAAATAAAGGATGCAGGGAATTAAATAACAGAAAAAGGAAAAAAATGTTGGAAGAAAAACAAAGAACAGAAGTAAAGAGTAAGATAGGAAACAGAGAACAATAAGCCAACGATAAGGAAAAACACAAACACAAATAAGAGCTTTACAATGAAAATTAAAAAATGGCAAACATTATATACATATATACATATATAAAGACTATAAAATGATTATACTTCCTTCTTTTACTAAGGAAAGAGGTAAGAAAGAAAACAAGGACAGGACAGGACATCTGTTTCAGTTATTCTGTTTTGTTTTCTCGTGTCTCACATTGTCTCTCTCCACTCCCCACCTGCCCTGTGTCCACGCCTTCCTTGTCTTTCTGTCCCCACCCACCTGTGATCATCTAACAATCCCCACCTGTGACATTTTAACTCCTCCACTGTCTGTACGTCACCCTTCCCTTCCCATCCTGTCACCTGGTCGTAAGTCTTCCTTCCCCCTGAATCTACTACATGTCTCTTCACTTCCCCGTGAGTAATCTTGGCCAGTCCTTTAACTTTGAACCTTAGCCTGGTGGTTTTGTATTTTAGCTGTTAGTCTCTGGCTTCCCTCTGTTTTGAACTCTGCCTGTTTCAACTGAGACTAGTACCACTGACCAGCTTCAGTTTTATTTAAGATTAAATTATCTCCTAACCGTGTCCTGCCTTTGAGTCCCTAAATAAGGGACAGATGGAAAAGAATGGTGTGACATAGCTAATGGAGAGAAGTGTGACATTTTTGTTCCAAAGTGACACAGAAAATTGATCTGAAACCAGATGTTGATTAAGAAAATAAAAGTCAAGGAAAATAAATATATAAATATATTGAAATATAAAGAAAAAATATAGATACATTTTACAGGGTTTGACAAGTATTCTAACCATAAGAAAATATAAGACTAATTTAAATATAATTTTAAATCATCATTCCAACTTAAAAAAAGAGATTCTGCCTCATCAGGACCGGCTCTTCAGCACCATCTGAAATAATGGACCTCTTCAAGACTAGTTCTAAAAATCCAATAGCAATAAAATACCTGCTACAAATTAGGTAAGAACATTTCTCACAAACAAACACACAGTGATGAAAATTAGAATTCCCAGAATCCCCTGTACCTCTCCATGTCTGTGAGCCGGGATGAGTCTCGAAAACCTTTAGCAAATGGGTTGCTGTCAATCTTGAGTTTAGTTATCTGTGGATCAAGAAAAACAAAAAGTAAGACTTTTTTTTCACTTTGATTTCACAAATTTTTGTGTTCAATTTATGTTGTCACTGTAAATAGATTTTTGTTGCATTAAAATGACAAAAATGTATTTTTAAAATATATAATATAATAATATATAATATATTTTCAAGATTGCTACAGAATTATATATTTTCTTAGTGTTTGAAAATGGTTTGGTCTCACTTTGTTAATACTGAAACTAAACCCAAATGTGGCAGCAAGGCCTTTTATTTCTGTCTCATTAACTTTCACAAGTTCATAGAGAAATATCAACACCTGCTTTGAGTCTGTGGGGAGTGTAAATATATGAAGAGACAAATCCGATGTCAGTCACTCACCAGCTGGTTCTGGTAGGCCGTGACAGCAGTGAAGACAGTCTCCAGGAAGACAAAGGTGCGGAACTCCTCAGACTTGAGGTTGAGCAGTGAGGCAGTGTGGTCTTTCTTTTTGATGATGTGAACCCGAGGCTGGTACTTGTGCATGGAGTTGAGGATGATCTGGAGAGGAGACGTCGGCGTTAATTACACCTTCACTATCAGGGTGAGTGGTGGACATGATTGACATCTGTCTCATAAATTGGGTCGTCTATCACATTTTTTAAATGTTAAGCAATGGTCATTTCTTATTTTAGCAGTAATTCAGACATCACACAATGAAATGAATCTGACTCATTCTCATTCTTTTACTTCAATCTCTATGGCAACAAATAAAACCAAATATTTTATTGACACTTAAACAGTCATTTTTAACTTCAAATGTTCAAACTTGTGATGTCCCAGAGGTCCATTCAGACTTGGGGATAAATAGCAATCCAATCTGCTCCTTTAGCCAAATGCAAAAGCAGTTTTTTTCCAAACTGTTTTATTTTGAATTAGTTATTTTATTATTATTATTTTTTTCAGCAGGTAAATTCCAGACGACCTTATTTTGTGTGGATTTGTCAACAGTGAGAGTGTTTGAATGACTGGCCTGTCTGTAATCTTTTACAAATTATTTTACAGAGTAAGAAGTGGAATTCTCTCGTATTAAACCAGCATTTCTTTATATTAAAATATATAAAATGATATAACAAAATAAAAATATATCAGCTTGTACAATCTAACTATATATATTTATCCAAAGGAGTCCTATGGAAGTAGTTGTTTTGCGTCTTTGAAGCTATTTTTGAACTAAAAAGCTTTTACCCAGACACAGGTCCACAGGTACACACCCCTCGGTCTAATTCGGCTTCCATTCTCTCTGTGTTCTGTTGCCTGTTCCTTCTTGCAGTAGACTCCAGGGATTAGAATGGCAATTTGCTCCATTCACACTAATAATCATCGCAACACACCGGTCTATAAATATTACACAGTGACTCGTCCACTGTAGCTTAGCACGACTCGTGACAGCCCTCCGTAGTTTTGTTTATTTATTTATGTATTTATTTAAAATTAAATGTTTTATTTCATTGTTGGCACAGATAATCTTATATTCCCTGTTATATATTTTAAATAGGTTGTAAGCTGTTTTATTCCTTTTGGCAAGCGTTGCGTTGATTTTTTTGCAAATAATTTCTTGACTAAATGCTACTTGTGTTTTAACTAGTTTTATGCAGCTTTGGTCTAACATTTCAATATTCTTTATCATTTGGACTTTTTCTCCAGTTGCAGTTATATTTGCTATTTAAAAATGTACAGCACGTATCTAACGGGTCTTTTAATATATTGTAATATATATTATTATAAGAGATAAGAGATATATTATCTCTTATTCTTATAAGAGATAATATATATTATGTCTTGAAGAAGAGACTACATATCTCTGTGTTTGACTCACGTGTCCATGTTGGTCCAGTTCGTTGTTCGTCAGCTTGACCTTCTCGAAGGAGACCATCTGTTTCATCAGTTGCTCTCCGGTGAACGGGGAGTCCGGGTGTACGTACAACCTGGCGGAGTGACGTCAGAGGTTCGTGGTTAACAGTGCGGACGGATTCAGTTATTCTCAAAAAGATACTGGTCAGAGCAAACCAGCCAATTAAAGCTAAGAGGCAAAACGTGTTAATAAATAAAGTTAGTAAGAAGTCGGTTTTGCTTTGTTCATTTTTAATTATCGTATTGAACTATAAAAAATATGAATGCGACTGTTGTAGACTTAAAGACGACGGTTGTATGAATGGTCAGACACTGATTCTTTATAAAAAAATAAACGAACTTTTATCGTTGACTTAAAAACATACCTCTGACCTACAAATCTTTAGTCTATCTAATATCTCTTAATCTAACAGATTAAGAAAACCGTGTTAAGCACAACGAAGGATTGTTTAATTGAGGTCAGAAGCCTTATTCACCTTGCGGGCAGAGGAGGGTCCGCTTTTCCGGCGACCAACCAGGAGGAGCGGTGATATGCGTACCGGTACCGTTTATTATCCACCGGGACAATATCCATCAAGACGATGTATTTAGAGTCTGGGTCCACACCAGAGAAAGACACACGGATGGTGGGAAACATTCTCCTGAAGGAACGACAGGAACAGCAGATTATTATTATTATTATTATTATTATTATTATTATTATACATTGTAAATGGTAAAAGTAATGTTAAATACATACAATTGTTATTATTTAGAATCACTGAATACCGGCAAAATGTATGAGTGCTATAAAATACGTGTATGGTACATATTGATTGTTTTAATATTACAGTTTAAAATAAAGTTGACAAAAAAGACAGCTCCCAAATTTCGATTACAATTGTATACCTTTATTTTAAATTATTAATATAATAATCGTGATTTAATTTTTGTGTTTACTAACCACAAGGCTTTTATTTTTCTCTGCCCAAATAATAAAGAAGGAACAGATAATTATGACTATCAACAGATAACAATACATCAATGAAATTAATCATTTTTCAAAATTAAAATTTCAGCAAATTAGATCAAACCCAGTGTCGCCAATTTAGTTTAAGTGACGGAAATAAATCGATATATTTTTGCTCTGACTTGAGAATATTTAAAAAAAAAAATAAAAATGTTAGTTTTCATTATGCTCTCTGCCTTGCCCGACTTTTTACAAACATTGTCAACATTCCTCTGCCTAAAAATCTCTGACCAAATAACATCTTATTATGATTTTTTAGCATATCTAGTAAGTTGTGTTAAATATATACTTTTCTGTTTCTGTTAATCCATGCGTCTGGTAAACTTTATGATAAAATCTTTTTGTGTATATATATTCATATATGTGTGTGAATATACGTATGTGTGGATATAACGTATATTCTCAGTGTAACATATTCGCATTATTGTTAATATTATTATTGCTGTTGTTGTTGTTGTTGTTGTTGTTGTTGTTGTTGTTGTTGTTGTTGTTGTTGTTGTTGTTGTTGTTGTTGTTGTTGTTGTTGTTGTTGTTGTTGTTGTTGTTGTTGTTGTTGTTGTTGTTGTTGTTGTTGTTGTTGTTGTTGTTGTTGTTGTTGTTGTTGTTGTTGTTGTTGTTGT